TAATAATAATAATAATAATAATAATAATAATAATAATAATAATAATAATGAAAAACATTTTCTCCCTCTTTCTGAAAATATTGCCAGGAGCCTGTAACCAAAGAATGAACTTAATGAAGGATTTTTTTTTTCCCCCGTAGGAAAATACTGCAAACTTAAAAATTAAATTTGGAATGTTTTTCTAAAAAAAAAAAAAAAGTCTACTTTTATTAAGTGCCCCCCCTTAGAGTGGCACATTGGATGAACTCTTCTATCTTGAGGTTAATGGATCATTGTATATTTGGACATTTTGGGTCAAAAAAAAAAAAAAAAGCTTGAGGATCTCTCTTTCTGGCATCTATATATTAAATTAAAATTCCAAACTCCGTGTGATGGAACTCTGTCCTCTCCTAAGTCCACAAAGACACTTGTAGAGATCGGATGAGTCATTTGATCTTAGTGTGGAGAGTCCAGTCACCCAAAGGGTGCAACATGGAGTTCTGCAGCTGATTGGGACAGCAATACAATCAAAGCCAACAGCAAGTTCTCTAGACTGTATCTGCTGAAACATCAATGAAGGGAGAGGGAAGACTAGAATCTGATAAAGCGGTTAGCTCCTACTGAATCAGCTACATTTCCGTATCCTCCTCCTGGTTCCTCTGTCTACAGGGTTACCAGCCCAGTCCTTCTGCAGTGTGCTCCAGGTGGTAATGAACTGTTGTGCTCCCCTGCTGGGGAGAACTACAGCTTTAAATGTCCCTGTTTCTATGATGGGAGTCTGAAAGCGTACTCCTGACTAATTTCTCTTTGGAGATTCTGTTTTGCTTGTTTTGTTTTGATTTGATTTCATTTGATTTGATTTAGTGACATAAAAATGTATCATGTGATGTTCTGCTTGCATTATTACAGCATTGTAGTAACTCCTGTTCCTTATTTGGGAGAAGTAAAATTCGTGAGCATGAAGCAGTTTTGAAAAGACTGAGGATGAAAGCAGAATGCAATTCAGCACCAGGACCTACCTAATATGTATGTGTGAGGCTCCTGGGGATCAGTCTCCCGTACCTCAAATTTTAATTAAATTAAAAAGAAAGCACAACAATTTGAGGATTAGAGAAAGTCTGTCTACTAGTTTTCTGATCTAAACCCCACTTGTTTCTGGCATTTACCTGGTCTCTTTGAGATGCTTAAAAACCTTACTTCTAAAGAAGGATGGTATCTTCTGAGAAAAGTAAATATTTTCATATACCTACTCTGGGAAATGCAAACAAACAAACTGGGAATTGAGAATTCACTTTTACAACCTAATATCAAGATAGCATATGTCAGTAGATGCTTCTGCCTGACATTAAGTGTGTTCTGAGATGACCAGTTAAATTGTCACTACTGAAATTTAGAGTCTGCTTCCTCAGTGCGTTTTCTACTTTTTTTAAACATAAAATTAAAAAAAAAAAACATTTTCACATGATAGCATTTTCATTCTGTTACATACTTGATCTAGACATTTAACTCATTTCTGCTAAGAGGCTCCAAAATAACACTGCAGGACCTGAATCCCTAGAAGAAAGGACAGAGTGCTTCACATCTGCAAAGAGAATGAGGCAAAGCTGTTGACTTCCAGTTAAGAATCAAAATGTGGGCCTGGGTCATAATAACATCCCACTTGCCTAAAACCTCCCAGTTAACTTTCACATTTGGTCCTACCAAAGATTCCAAGGGGCAGTGGTAGGGAGGGTCATCCTCATGTACAAAGGCATGCAAATACATCCAGGCAAAAGAAAATACTCAGTTTGCATAGGGATGTGGCTTGTTATGTAAAATTACTTGAGAACTCAGAATTGAATGGCTGTCCTCTGCATGCAAAGGAAAATGTAAAACATTTGTCGTTTTATAGTACTTCAGAATTCCATGACTGTTACCTCAGAACCACACCTATGTAGACCCATAAAAGCAAACATTCCTGCTCATCATTTCACCATGATCAGGGATGGCAAGAAGAGTTATTTCAGTATCATCAAATTTTGCACAGTGATTAAAAAAGGAGGTCTGTACAGGCACTGGAAGAACCAGTGGAGTAAGGGCCAGGTGTGCCTCTGTGACTTGTAAAGAGGACAATTTTACAGAAATACTGGGACTAAGATTTAAAGTGGTCGACATTAGTTGTTAAATGCAGCAATCATTCTCCAAAGAAGAGTAGTGAATTACTTTCCAACCAGTCCAGACTTGTCTCTAGAGAATCTAGACGCAGTCACCATAGTTTATTTTTCCAGAGAAGAGTAAATTTTTTTCAGATAAAGGTATGTGCTGACAGAGCCTGTTGGCCTCACTCATTTGAATGAAGGGCTGAAGGTGCAGCCACACTTGGCCTTCTAAATCACTAGAAAGGCAAGGACTGATCACTCTTGGTGAACATATTTCTGGGTGTTTCAGAGCACACAGTCATCGTAAGATCAAAACCTACCAGGCAGTTGAACATTTTTTTTTTCTATTTCCAGATTAAATTAAAATTAATTACGCTGGCCTATTATTGAAGCAACGTGTGGGGGTCATTTGCTGTGAGGGGAGTCTGTGGCTCTCGGCCACAACCTGAAAATCTATACCATCTATGCTATTTCCTGAGGCAAGCACTCATGAGACGTCGAGTTTATTCCAACTTGCTGTGCTTCCTCATGAAAAGTATGATCGTACCGAAGTCTGAGGCAAAACAAGACTTGTTAAGATTCCTTCTTCAGCTGCCTGTGAGCACACTCCCTACTTCATCGGGCTTTGAATGTTATATAGTGACCACTACCTATCGCTGCTTGCCCTGACCTTGTGCCTTTTCTGATTTGCAGGTCTCATAGGTATGGATCTTGGGAAGGTGTTCTTAACTCTGGCACTGGCATTCTCCAGCAGCACGTTTTCTGGAAATGGGGGTGAGTCCTGCCTTCCTTTTCTTAGACCGTGGTGTTTAGAAACAGAGCTGAGCTGTGTTGAATCCAAATGAAATAATCGTAAGTTTTAGGTAGCAGGAAACTTGTCTTAGCTTTAAAAATCAAAAACCAGGAGATTTCTCTGGGGATTTCTAAGGAGGGCTGTGGTAGTCAGGTTTGGCATCTGATGTTTTCGTGTTGAAAATCAATGTTACATAGTGTACTGAGGGCATTCATGACAAAGACAAGCCAGGCCTCTGGGAGAGCTATTAAAATCACACCAAAGCTCTATTAGCCTACTGATGGCTCAGCTCATCTGTGACCAAGCATAGCAGAATCTGTTTCCAAGGCTTGGAATGCAGTCCTCTTAATTATATTCTCTGAGAGGGGAAATTTCAGGCTCCTGGTGAATTTGTCCCCTTGTTCTCTGAATGATTTTCATTTGGCTGAGTTCCAGGGAAGAAGACACCTGAACTCGGTGACAGATGTACCCAGAAGTTGTAAGATGCCGTGGCTGTCTAAATAGTTTTTTTCCTTCTCTTTTATACTCTCCTGGTAGTCTCAATATTTTCAGACTCACATGTCATAGCAGAAACAAAGAAGAATAATGAAAGTATGTGGGGGAGGGGCATGTCTGTCTGGAAAGGAAAGTGTCCTTGCTACGGGTTGGATAAATTTTTCAAAGAATGTCTTGAGAAAGTGGCAGTTTTCCTTGCCTGAATTTCACTAGAGGGTAGGAACAATATGTTTTTGCCATGCTGTGAGCACTGGACGTGGTTGTTGCTTTAAGAGTAGCAGACTCCCTTACTCAACACCCAGCTCATGTTGGAAAACACAGTTTAGCAGGCTACTTAACGCCTTAAGATGTCCTGCTGACCTTGTGACCAAAAATAAATGCAGAGTTGTGAACTGCTGATGGTGTCAAGAGCAGTTTAGGAAGGGGAAAGGATAGAATATGTTATTTTATTTCTTAAAACAATTCCAAAATATTTATTGAAAAGAAGTCATAATTGTTTGAAATATTTTTGGGTCTCTCTGGTGTTATTATGTCAACATTATGCAAGTCAGATGTGGAGAGAATCATGGGCTCCACTTCAGCAGCTTTTCCCATGGCTGCTTTTAGACCCTGGTTCTGAGCCAAAGAATTACAGCTCAGATCCTCTGCAGTTCAAGAGTCGTGGTGATTTAATCTCTCCTTTCTTCACTAAGGTGACTTTCAGTCCATGGGGGCAAGGCTTGAGGAATTTAAAAGCTTGTGAAACAAAAAGCACAGTGTAAGAAATGTTAAAGAAGTTTTAAAATGCATCCCAGACTAAGAGATTAGAGCTTGAATTAATTATTTATCATTTATTTTTTGTTTTATGTACGTTGGTGTTTTGCCTGTAGGTATGTCTGTGTGAGAATGGCAGATCTTGGAGTTACAGACAGTGCTGAGCTGCCATGTGGGCCCTGGGAGTTGAACCTGTATTCTCTGAACTGTTAAGGTCTTAACTGTTGAGCCATCTCTCCAGCCCTCAAGCTTGAATTATTTTTAAGCCTGGAGAATTTCCAGGTTCTGTTCAACTGCTTAAATGTTTGAATAGCCTTTGACTTCCTAAGAGCCCCTCAAAATCTTGACAGCTTATTTTAAATGAATTTCATTGCATATATTTATAACAAACAATGTTATAAGGTTTGTGTATGTGTGTACATAATTATTCATTTTTTCTCTGTGGCAACAGAAGCCATGATCGACTTATATAGCAAAAATACTGAATATAATAATATAACATCATGATATATATTGATATATAATATAATAATTTGTCTTGTCCATTAAATCACTGCATATTTGCTACTTTGTACCCTGTGTCTGCCATGCCCTTCCCATACCTAAATCTGGTAACCTCTGTTCTCTCTACAGTTTGAACTTTTCTTTGTAAAATTACAGATTAATGCAATCATGTTTGTTCTTTCTGATCTGACCTAGTTCACTTAAACGGATGTCCTTTAAGTCCACTCTTACTGTGGAAAGTGGCAAGATCTTCAGTCTTAAGTCTGGGCTGTTTCATGTCTTAACCATTGTGGATAATGCTCCAGTAAATACAGGAATGCAGTCCTTTATAAAAAGTGATGATTTCAACAGCCAGTTCCAAAAATATCTTCTTAATTTTCTTTTTAATAATTTGTGTTTGCTTCTTGTTGGCTTGGGGAAAACAGAGTAAAAAAAATAAAATATATTTTTAATTCTTTTTATTTTTTTTTATTTTTATTAATTACAGTTTATTCACTTTGTATCCCCCCCAGCTCCCTCCCTCTTCCCCTCCAAATCCCACCCTCCTTCCCCTTTCTCCACCCATGTCCCTCCCCAAGTCCACTGATAGGGGAGGTCCTCCTTTCCTTCCTTCTGATCCTAATCTATCAGGTCTCATCAGGAGTGGCTGCATTGTTTTCCTCTGTGGCCTGGTAAGGCTGTTTCCCTCTCAGGGGGAGGTGATCAAAGAGCAGGCCAATCAGTTCAAGTCAAAGAGAGTCCTTGTTCCCATTTGGGGACCCACTTGGACACTGAACTATCATGGGCTATATCTGTGCAGGGGTTCTAGGTTATCTCCATGAATGGTCTTTGATTGGAGTATCAGTCTCAGAAAAGACTCCTGTGCCCAGATTTTCTGGTTCTATTGAGCTCCTGTCCTCTGGTGAGAATGTAAACTTGTACAACCACTTTGGAAATCAATCTGGCCCTTTGTCTGACAATTAGGAATGGCGCTTCCTCAAGATCCAGCTATACCACTCCTAGGCATATATCCAAAAGAGGCTCAAATATACAACAAGGACATTTGCTTAACCATGTTTGTAATAGCTTTCTTTGTAATAACCAGAAGCTAGAAACAACCTATATGCCCCTCAGTTGAGGAATGGATACAGAAATTGTGGTACATCTACACAATGGAATATCACTCAGCAATAAAAAACAAGGAAATCATGAAATTTTCAGGCAAATGGTGGGAACTGGAAAAGATCATTCTAAGTGAGGTATCCCAGAAGCAGAAAGACACACAAGGCATATACTCACTCATAAGTGGATATTAGATCTATAATATAGGATAAACATACTAAAATCTGTACACCTAAAGAAACTAATCAAGAAGGAGGACTCTGGCTAAGTTGCTCAATCACCATTCAGAAAGACAAAGAGGGTGGACATCAGAAGAGAGAGAAGGCAGGGAACAGGACAGGAGTCTACCACAGAGGATCTCTGAAAGACTCTACCCAGCAGTATTTTTAAGCAGATACTAAGACTCATAGCTAAACTTTGGGCGGTGTGCAGGGAATCTTATGAAAGAAGGGGGGATAGTAAGACCTGGAGAGGACAGGAGCTCAACAGAACCAGAATTATTTTATAGTAAGTACAAATCATGTATTTTACCAGTTCTTTCTACATAGGAAAGGACTTATCAGAGAAAATTTTCCTCTTTCTTTTCTTGTTAAGCTAAACAAATTAAAATATTTGAGTTTTTCAGAAAACTTTCTTAAAATGACATGGAGATTAAAAGTAGGGTATGTTGTTTGCTTAAGAGGATGTAGGGAAGTATGTTCAAGCATGCTCATATACATGTGTGTATTGGTGTACATGTGTGTGATTGTGTGTGTGTGCACGAGTGTGTGTCTTTATCTGCCAGTTACCTAATAGCTTCAGGCAAACTTAGCACAGTACACAACATGGGTCATAATCCTGGATGATATTCATGGACCAGTGTTTCTTTTCTTTTCTTCTTCTTCTTCTTCTTTTTTTTTTTTTTTTTTTTTTTGCCTGTCTGAATCAAATTATTTTCTTTTTGATTTTTTCTCTCTTTCGATATAAAGCAGACTAAATATATAGGTGGAGAATTTTTTAAAAACATAGTTTTATAATTTATTCTTTGGTTAGGTTTGATTGGTACAATTAGTGGCATTGTTGAGTCAGTTATGAAGGAATCACCTGTAAAACTCTGCCCAGAAGCTAGATTGAAGATGACAGGTCTTTATGGGAAGGTAATATTGGCTCTTGAATCCTTAAGCGGGGCTCTACTTGTTTGGGCAAATGCATAACTAGAAATTTACTGGGTCTGAGAGGATTTTTTAAATTAAATTTAATTGCTCTGTGGAAAACTTAATGGGAACCAAACATTTAACAGTACCACCATTGTATTGTTTAAAATGTTGTAATAGTATTGTTTTTTTTTTTTAATCATTCAGCCTTAATATGAGGCTTTCTATCCCTCCTCTGTGCAAGTTATATATTCTCATGGAGAATTCCTTATTCCATCCTTAAGAATGGACAACATTATCTCTTTTTAAAAGGCTTTGCCAGGTTGATCTATGCTTTGGTTGTACCTGGAATATTGCTGGTGAGAAATGTACATAAACAGGTGATATATATAAGGAGTATCCATTATAAAATATGCCATCTATCTATATATCATTCAGTCAGCAACTCAGCATTCCCTTGGGTCTCAGCATCCTCAGGAAGAAGCAAAAATATATAGAAGTTCAGTCTGGCTAGGACATGAAGAGCTTCTGGAAGTGACTGGGGGACTGTCACTTTAATATCTAATTTTTATAATGAAGTCAAATCATAAAGATTCTCTGAACAAAGTAAACTTAGAACCATTAATTCACCAAGTTTACTGCGTAGAGATCTCTTCAGCTCTTCCTATTTTCAAAGCTTAAATTTTGGGTTATGAAGAATATGAGAGAAGTCTTCAATGACTTATCAAGAGTTAAAAGATTAGGTAAGTATACTAAGAATTACAGTATTAGGTTCTATATATGAACTGTGGAAATAGCCCAAATCATACTACATAGAAGTAGCAATGAACATAAAATACAAAACAGTTCATTCAGTTACCAAGTTATACAATGTTCAGTGTATGAGTGAGGCAAGGAGTAGTTCCATTTTATGCATTTAAAAATCAAGACATATCTACTAAGCACTTCCTTTGTAGACAAGAGAGGAGTCATTTGGCAAAGCATACTGTACATGA